AGGCTGGAAGTCTCAATTCAGAGTGCCTGTTCAAAGGCAAGCCTTTATTTATGTCGATTTCAGATTCTCCAGTCTTCTGATCTCATTTGTGCTTCATGTGGCTTGGCATCTCTCTTTCCCCATTTTGCCCTCTTTGGATGGCTTGTTTAATCTCTTTATACCTTGAAAGATATTAACTAACGATACCACCTACACTAATCCAGTCTTGTGAACATAAAACAACCCATTTCTAAACAGGATTATAACCAAAGGCATGTTGTTGTTGTTATTGTTAGGTGCTATTGAGTCAGTGCCGACTCATAGAGACCTTATGCACAGCAGAACGAAACACTGCCCAATCCTGGGCCAACCTCATTATTGTTGCCACACTTGAGCCCATTGATGCTGCCATTTAGCCAATCCATCTCGCTGGGGGTCTTCCTCTTGTTCTCTGACCCTCCACTTTACCAAACATGATATCCTTCTCCAGTGACTGGTCCCTCCTGACAATATGTCCGAAGTATAAGAGACGAAGTTTGGCCATCTTGGCCTCCAGAGAGCACTCTGGCTGCACTTCTTCCAACACAGATCTATTGGTTCTATGGGCAGTCCATGGCACTTCCAATATTCTCCTCTAACACCATATCTCAAGAGCATCAATTCTTCTACAGTCTCCCTTATTTACTGTTCAAGTTTCATATGCATATGAGGTTATTGAAAACACCATGGCTTGGGTCAGGAGCACCTTAGTGCTCTTGTTGTTAGGTGCCATTAAGTTCATTCGAACTCATAGCGATCCTATGCAAAGAGAAGGAAATGCTGCCTCCTGATCCTGCACCATCCTCCCAACTGTTATGTTTGAGTCCATTTTTGCTTTTACTGAGTCAGTTGATCTCCTTGGGCATCTTCCTCTTTTTCACTGATTCTCCATGTTACCAAACATGAGGTTTTTTTCTTCTAGGACTGGATCCTTCTTGACAATTTGCCCAAAGTAAAAGAGACAAAGTCTTGCCATCCTTACTTCTAAAGAGCATTCAGGCTGTACTTTTTTCAAGACAGATTTGTTTTTTCTGGCAGTTCATGGTACTTTCAATAGTCTTCACCAACACCATAATTCAAATGCATCAATTCTTTTCCAGTTTTCCTTATTCATTGTCCAACTTTCACATACATATGAGGCAACTGAAAAAAACCATAGCTTGGTCCTCAATGTGCCAACTTTGTTCTTTAATATATATATTTGGTGTTGTAAATGCTGTTTGTTTTTAATGTTTTATTGTGAATTAGTTTACATGGGAGAACATTAGCTTTGCATTCATTCTATCTTATATCTTTTTACTGCCATGGTGACAATCCCCTCCAACCAACCAACCCTTGCAAGCCTGCCCCCCTGGTTGTCAGCACACAACCCCTCTCCCTCCCTGGGTCTAGAGTCCCCAGCCATTCCCTCTCTTCACAACAACATCTCTGGCTTCACTGCTTCTCTGGGTAGAGTCCCGCATTCTGCTTTTCTCCTTTGATGGTCCCAGGGACCTCCGTTCCTGGACTGCAAAGTCAAACATTTCCCTCGTTTTGCTACAAAATGTCTACCTTTGCATTTCCAACCCTCACAGTCAATCCTGACAGCAATTATACACTACTGTGCAGCATGAGAGCCATCCCCATCTCCGTTCATCAGTCACGCCCAGACAGATTGGATACCTCTCTGTGGAATTTCTGCTTTCTATGCGCCCTTCACATTTCTTTTACCCAAGCCTGCAACAAGAACAAATGGACCCAAAACTATTTTTTTCTGTGAACAGTTTTTGGAATTATTCTATCACTTTGCAGGATTTTCCTATGTAAATATTTTAGCCTTCAAGAATCTGAAACTTACGTACTTTATGGGAAATGTAGCAGGATATTATGAAAGAAATTCACAAAGAGAACTAAATTTCTGGTAATTTACAGTTTATATAATGGTAAATATTTTTGGTCAAAGTTTACCAGGACAGTTATTAGGAGGAAGTAACAGTTCTGAATAGAAAGATAATTTAATAATGCTATTTTACCATAAACACCAATTCTCTATGGTATAATTCAGAATCTTGAGTAAAATGAATACTCTTCTGGGTTATAAAATATGCTTGAGGATTACATTCTTATTATATCCATATCTCCAAAACTGGTAGAGATTTTGTCAGGTAAGGAAGAATTCTAGTTAAGAGAGGCAGGAAAGTGTGGCGGTCTAATGAGAAACACTACAAGAACAACAGTTGTATGTGTTATATCATTTTAACTCTATAAACATTGTACTTTTTCTATTTTATTATGTTGTTGTTGTTAAGTGCCGTCGAGTCGGTTCCGACCCATAGCGACCCTGTATAGGATTTCCGAGGGTGTAAATCTTTATGGGAGTAGAAAGCCTCATCTTTCTCTCACGGAGCAGCTGGTAGTTTCGAACCACTGACCTTAAGGTTCGCAGCCCGATTTGTAACCACTACGCTACCAGATATAAGTGTTGTTAAATTACATAACTTTTTCAAAATGGAATCTATTTCAAACATTAAACATCCGTATTGTAAACCTATCAGAAAAGACAAGAAAAATGAACATAAACTTTCATTATATCCTTCCAGATGGGAGGGATAACATGGGTAACAGAAAGATGTTGTATGTGTATTTATGTGTGCAATGTATAATTTTTAAGTGGATCTTGACAACTATTTGGTTTGGCAATTTGCATTTTTACTTATTACATCAAGACTATCTTTGCATGTGCACAATTTTCAGCAACCTTTTAAAATGGAAATATATTATTTCATTATTTCATTGCTTGGCTGTTCAATAATACTAATCAGTTCTTTTTTGTTGACACTTGAGTGGCTTTTCTTTTTGCTATTAAAACTTTAAACATTATCTCTGGGCACTTGTCTAATTATTTCTCCAAGATGACTCTTAAAAGTGGAATTGCGCAAATGTTTTTGAAGCTTTCAATACATAGTGTCAACAGGCCTCCAGAAAGGCTAACTCAGTAACAGTCATTTCTCCCTTCTTTTAGGATCTCAAGTATATTTTTTCACAATTTCTGGCTACTTTGATAGGTGAGGGGATTTGAATTACGGTATTGGCAAAGAATATTCAAAGAGTGGGAATGAATGTCTTTTCTTCAAATTTATTGTAATCTTGTTTATTGAATTCTGAAGACTTCTTTTTCATTTTTACTACTTCCTGGAGTAGAGATTTTCTAACTTCCTTAAGCTCCCCTAGTCATTTGAAATAGCCAACCAAGTAAGGACAAGAATGCATGCCTTAGCGATTTGAATTAGCCAACCCGGTAAGGACAAGACTGTGCAGTCAAAGCCCTAGCCAGTCGGGTTAGACACAGCTTTAAGACTAGGTCAGGGATAAAAACCCAAGCCGACTACCTGCCCAGTGTGCTGGCTAGACTGTACCTGTACGGCGACTTGCACCCTTCTGCAGAAGTAAATTTTGCTTTGTCGAGGAAATTTAGTCTTACAGAGTGTCTTTTTGCGCGACATCGGGGTTCATTTCTAACAATTGTACCATGGACTGCCAGAGACTAAAAAAAACTGTCTTGGAAGAGGTACAGCCAGATGTTCCTTAGAAGCCAGGATGGCTAGACTTCGTGTCTCTTTCGTTCCCTGGACTTGTCAGAAGGGCCCAGTTCCTGGTAAAGTGTAAGGTCAGTGAAAACGAGATCCCAAAAGATGAACTGACAACAAAAATAGCAACAACAATGATCTCGAACATAATAATTGTTGAGGATGGCACAGGACTGGGCCGTGTTTCTACTGTTGTGCATCGGAACGAATTTGCAACCAACAACAAAATACAAAGCCACTATAAAATGTAGAGTCCTGGTGTGACTCTGTGGGCTAATGCGTCAGACTTGAATTGCAAGGGGTGGTGGTTCAAGCTGCTCCTTGGAAACCCTATACAGGGTTGCGATGGCCGGAATCCACTCAGCAGCACTTAACAACAACAATAAAATGTAAAACCAACATTTTATAATATTTTTAATGTGAAACTGGGTTTTCTGCCGCCACTGGCTCCCTGGAGGAGCAGTTAGTTGGAAGGAAGAAAACCTAAGAAATTCAGCCAAGTGAGGAGGTGAATCAGTCCGGATGAGAAGGGCAATCTGGAAGACAAGGCAATATGGAGAGTTCTTTACTGGTAGGGCAATTATCATGGGGAGGTTTTAGTTTCGAATCTTGCTGTTGTTAAGTGCCGCGGAGTCGGTTCCAAGCAGCTGGTGGGTTTGAAGAGTAGACCTGTGGCTCGCAGTCCAATGCTTAACCTACAAATCTTGTTGTTTTTTGGTGTTTAGTGCCGTGGAGTTGGTTCCAACTCATAGCGACCCTGTGTAGGGTTTCCGAAGAGTGGCTGATAGATTGTTGTTGCTGTTAAGTGCTGTCGAGTCGTTTCCGACCCATAGCGACCCTGTATAGGGTTTCTGAGGAGCCGCTGGTGAGCTTGGATCTCCCACCTTCGCAGTCTGGCGCATTAACCCACAGCGGCACACCAGGACTTCGGCTGATAGATTGTTGTTAAGTGCCGTCGAGTCGGTTCCGACCCATAGCGACCCTGTACAGGGTTTCCGAGGCTGTAAATCTTTACGGGAGCAGAAAGCCTCATCTTTCTCTCGCGGAGCACCTGGTAGTTTCGAACTGCTGACCTTAAGGTTGGCAGTCCTATTCGTAACCTCTACGCTACCAGAGCTCCTTGGCTGATAGATTGGGAATGGTAAAAACTAGCACGTGACTCCACATAATCGAAATTATCTTCAATCAAAAATAACTTTAGATCACCACTGAAAGATCAAGCACCCACATCTCCCCGCCCCCAACCACTTTCCCAGCAGCCGCGCGGCAGCCACGTGGGAGGACTAACGCGGCCGCCGCGCCATCCCACAATGCACCGCTTGCGCCACTGTATGGGCGGAGAGAAGGGACTGCGGTCAGGGCTGGGATCCGGGACGCGCTCCAAGAAGTGCGCATGCGCACTGACCCGGCGGGCCCTAGCAACCAGAGCAGTGACAGTAGCAACGGCCGGAATGGTAAGTACACTCCTGGTATCATAGCTTAAGTTGAGAGATATTGGGCGTGGAAAAGGGTGATTGTGAAGTGTAAAGAATGGAGGATCCTCACACAGTGGAAAGGATCCAGGAGCGGCCTCCAGCTCCTTGGAGTCAGAGGCCTGAGGCGAAAGAGATGCCAGGCGGGGGTGGACGGATGGACTGGAGGTTGGGTTAGGGTAGAGGGACTCTGTCGAGAGAAAAAAGGAAGGGTGACGAGCAGGAAATTCTTTTTAAAAGAGAGGACTAGGGTGGGAAAGGTGATGGGACACATAGCGTGGGTGTTGATATCTCTTGCATAGAAGTAATTTCCTCTCTGGAGAGATGAGGGTTTGGAGGGGGGCCTGGTTAGGAAGAGTGTGTCTAACGCTGATTGCATCAGTATTGGTAATGGGTAGCGTACCCAGGTTGCCGCTGAGGAACGATGAGGGCAGTGATTAAGAAACACTGAAACCCACTCTAATCGAATATTAGGGCAGTACTTAAGAAGTTTCAGTATGTGTAAGTATGATTTTTGGGGGAATATATTTTTTGGATACAGAAGGAACAAGGTTAAGGAATGTGCATTTTGAGAATACACGGAAAGTGATTCTAAAATTGGGGGGCGTCCCACCACTCTTTGAGAAATGTTCCTATCTTTGATTTGAAATCAACCACCAGTGTACCGGCTCAAAGCTCTTGTGAGGTAGTGATTTTATCTATTGATGTTCCTCAGCTCCTACTGAACACACTGAGCTCACTTAGTTACATACTTGGTAGTTCCAAATAGTACTTTGAAAAAGGATGTTGTTGCTTGGTTACATACAGATCCAGCCAAAGCTAATATATAGCAAAGTACTTGGTTTTCCTGCCAGATGGAGATATTGATGAAGATTAAGTATAATTAGTTATCTTCTTTTTGTGATTCCAATCCTATGAAAGTAGGCAAAAATTGAGTCCAAGTAATTCCCTGTTCCCTTATCCTCTGCACTTTATTCCACAGGCATTTAGCTGAAGACCACTGTCAAGGAAGATAAAAAATTCTGTAACACAGGTTTATGTTCAGGTGAAGAAAAAAGAAATCAGCCTTAAATAAATCTGAAAATAGGAACCATGGAGATTATTGAAAAGCTCCATCTAGAGAATCAGAATGGGGAATTAGCTGAAGCTTGGTGAAGTTGCACTAGAGGTAGTTTTGGGATCCTCCAGAAGACTTAGTTTTTTCGGGCTCACATGTTGTGTGCCTCAAGTTGATTCCAATTCAGGCTGTAAATATGGGAGCAGAAAGCCTCATCTTTTCCCACAGGGTGACTGGTGGATTCAAACTGCTGACTTTGTAGTTAGCAGCCCAATGCATAACCCACTACACCACCAGTATTCTGAATTTTTGAGTAGTTTCCAGTTCTTAAGAGTTGGCATTTCACATTCAAGCCCAGTTTTCTGGATTCTCTGAAAAACCAGAATGATCATATTTTACGCTTTTATAATACTGAAATATGTTATACAATACTGAAATGTGTTATACAATATATAATTGGCAGCAGCTTTTCTTTCTTAATGGCACATAAAATAAGGGTGTTACTTACACTTAATGGAATTTTCGTATTTGGTGAAATGTGATATTAGAGTAACTCTTGACTCCAAATCTCTGGTGCCAACTGTTGTCTGGAGTCAAATAGAAGTTTTCTCAATGGGCTTTATTCTTGCTCATCTGGCCAATTTCACTCATTAATGAGGAATGGTCAGCTTGGTCCTTTAGACATTTGATTTTTTTTAACTCATGGGTAGTCCTGATGTGACACTATAGAATGAGCACTAGACTGTTAACCACAAAGTTAGCAGTTCAAACCCACCAGTCACTCCTTGGAAACCCTATACAGGGTCACTATGAGTCAGAACTGACTCGATGGCACTTAACAACAGCAACCTATAGGGAAAGGAGCCCTGGTAGTGTAGTGGATTACTTGCTGGACTGCTAACTACAAGGTCAGCAGTTTGAAACTTGGGAGAAAGCTAGGCTTTCTGTTCCCATAAGGTTTACAGCCTCAGAAACCCTGTACAGAGTCACTATAAGTTGTAACTGACTCATCGTAACTCAGCCACCACTTTAGGATAATAAGCACTGAACTGCTATCAGCAAGGCTAGTAGTTTAAATCCAGCCACCACCACCTCTAAGGGAACCAATGACTGTATACCATTTCTGTATTCCTAGGAGTCCTGATGTGGCTCTGTAAGATAAGCACTAGACTGGCAAGATTGGTTTGAACTGCAATGTTGGCAGTTCAAATTCACCAGCCACTCCTCGGAAACCCTATATCTCATAGGGCTGCTATGAGTCAGCCGTCTTGAAGGCACTTAACAATAACAGAATAAATAGCTAGATTGCCTCCAGCTCTGTTTTCACAATGTTATGAAAGTGTATCTTGTCTTATAGTATTGTGTGTGGTTAAGTTGATTCTGATTCATAAGCTATAATCTTTATGGGAGCAGAGCCCTAGATCTTGTCTCCTAGAGTTGCTGGGTGAATTCTAACTACCAGCCTGTAGGTTAGCAGCTGCGCACTTAACCATTACATCGCAAGGCTGCTGTTCATTGATTCTGCTCGGGTTGTTGTTGAGCTGGTACAGACTCAAGGACCCTATGAACAACAGAATGAAACACTGTCCGGTCCTGCGACTACCTTACAGTCGTTGCTACACTTGAGACCATTGCTGCTGCCACTGTGCCAATCCATCTAATTGGGGGTCTTCATCTTTTTCGCTGACCTTACACTTTACCTAGCATGATGTCTTTCTCCAGGGACTCTTCCTTCCTGATAAAATCTTTACTCTTGGAACACTTTAAGAGGTCTCGTGCAGCAGATTTGCCTAATGCAATGTGTCATTTGATTTCTTGACTGCTGCTTCCATGAGTGTTGATGGTTGATCTGAGCAAAATGAAGTCTTTGACAATTTCAATCTTTTCTCCTTTTATCTTGATGTTATTTGTTGGTCCGGTTGTGAGGATTTTTGTTTTTACATTGAGATGCAACCCATACGGAAGACTATAGATTTGATCTTCATCAGTAAATATTTTAAGTCCTCTTCGTTTTCATCAAACAAATTTGTAGCATCTGCATATCGCAGGTTGTTAATAAGTCTTCCTCCAATCCTGATATCACATTCTTCATATAATCCAGTTTCTCGAATTATTTGCTCAGCATACAAACTGAATAAGTATGGTGAAAGAAAACAACCCTGGCACATACCTTTCCTAATTTTAAACCATTCAGTGTTAGCTTTATGTTCGAATAGCTGCTTCTTGGTCTATATACAGGTCCTTGTGAGCACAATTAAGTGTTCTAGAATACTCATTCTCTGCAATGTCATCCATGACTCGTCATGATCCACACAATCAAAAGCCTTCGCCTAGTCAATAAATCACAGGTAAACATCTTTCTGGCATTCTCTGCTTTCAGTCAAGATCCATCTACATCAGCAGTGATATCCCTCGTTCCACATCCCTGTCTGAATTTGACCTGAAACTCTGGCAGCTCCCTGTCAATGTGCTTCTGCAGCTGTTTTTGAAGTATCTTTAGCAGAGTATTATTTGCATGCAATATTCATGACATTATCCGATGATCTCCACATTCCATTGGGTCACCTCTCTTTGAAATGGGCACAAATATAGATCTCTTCAAACCTGTTAGCCAGGTAGCTGTCTTCCAAATTTCTTGGTATAGATGTGTGAGTACTTGTAGAACTGCGCTCAGTTTGCTGAAAGATTTCAATTTGTATTCTATTAATTCCCAGAGTCTTGTTCTTTACCAATGCCTTCAGTGCACTTTGAACTACTTCCTTCAGTATCATTGGCTCTTGATCATCTGTTACCTCTTGTACCTCTTGGTACAGTGACTCCGTGTATTCCTTCCATCTTTTTTTTTTTTTTTAATGTTTTCTGCATCATTCAATATTTTGCCCATAAAATCCTTCAATATTGCAAGTCAAGGCTTGAATTGTTTCTTCAGTTCTTTCATCTTGAGAAATGCTCAGTGTGTTCTTCCCGCTTGGATTTCTAATTTCAGGTTTGCACATTTAATTATAATATTGGATTTGGGCTTCTCAAGATGCCCTTTGATATTTTCTGTTCATCTCTTTTGCCTCCTCACTTCTTCCATTTGCTTTAGCATCCCTGTGCTGGAGAACAAGTTTCAGAATATTTTCTGACATCACTTTTGGTCTTTTCCTTCTTTCGTATCTTCTCAGTGACATTTTGCTTGTTGTTGTTCATGATGTCATCCCACAACTCTTCTGGTCTTTGGTCTTTAGTGTCTGATTCATCAAATCTGTGCTTGAGATGATCTCTAAATTTAAGTGGGATATATTCAGGGTCATATTTTGGCTCTCATGGATTTGTTTTAGTGTTCTTCAGGTTCAGCCCGAACTTACATATGAGTAATTAATGGTGTGTACCACAGTCTGCCCCTGGTTGCGTTTTGGCTGATGATATGGAGCTTTTCCACTATCTCTTTCCACAGATGTCAATTTGATTTCTGTATACTCCATCTGGTGAGCTCCATGTGTATGTGTAGTTTCTTTTATGTTGTTTAAAAAAGGTATTTGCAATGAACAAGTCACTGGTCTTGGAAAAATTCTGTCATGTGATCTCCAGCATTGTTGCTATCATCACAGCCTTGTTTTCCGATGACTGATCCTTCTTCTTTGTTTCCAACCTTTGTACTCCAATCACCAGTAATTATCAATATATCATGATTCAATATTTGATCAGTTTCAGACTGAAGAAGTTGGTAGGATTCTTTAATTTCATCATCACTGGCTTTAGTGGTTGGTGCTCTTACATGTAGGCATATGGATATTAGCCTATCACAGACAGCATTATACTTCAAGACAGATCTTTGAAATGTTCTTTTTGATGATGAATGAGATGCCATTCCTCTTCAATTTGCCGTTCCCAGCATAGTAAACCAAGTGATTGTCAGATTCAAAATGGCTAATACCAGTCCATTTCAGCTCACTAATGCCTAGGATATCAATGTTTACACATTACATTTCATTTTTGACACCTTCCAATTTTCCTAGATTTAGACTTTGTGTATTCCATGTTCTGGTTATTAATGGGTGTTTACAGCTGTTTCTCTTCATTTTGAGTTGTACCCCATCAGCTAATGAAGGTCCCAAAAACTAAACTCCATTCACGTCATCACGGTTAAGTCTGCTTTGAAGAGGCACCACTTCCTCAGTTGTATTTTGAGTGCCTTCCCATGTGGGTTCATCTTCCAGCATATATATGACAGTATTTTGGTGCGCCTTATCATTTTTCAATATTCAATATTCTGGTGCCAACAGTGTTCCACTACTATTCATAAAGCTTTCAGTGACTGAATATCCGGAAATAGTCCATTTCTCCTTCTTCCTAAACACTCTTAATCTGAAAGCTCAGTTGAAACCTGTCCACGATGGGTGACTCTGCTGGTATTTAAAATACCAGTATCATAGCTTCCAGCATCACAGCAACATACAGGCCACCATAGTATGACAAACTGATAGACAAGTGGTAGTCTACTAGGGTTGTTGTTGTTCATCGTGGTTGAGTTGATTCTGACTCTTAGCGACCCTGTATAGGGTTTCCAAGGAGCGGCTGGTGTATTTGAACTACCGACCTTGTGGTCCAATGCATGATCCCACAGCATCACATTAGTATTCCTTTACTAGGGTTGTTGTTAAGTCATTTCTGACTCATAGCAACCTTGTACAGGGTTTTCAAGGTACGGCTGGTGAGCTTGAACCACAGACTTTGTGATTCAATCCTGTCTTGCAGTCCAGCGCATTAACTTGCAGTGCCACACCAGGGTAGTCTTTGTTTTTTAATCTGATCTTCATTTCTAGATTTTACTGTTGTCAAGTAATCCT